TCCCCTACTTTCTTCAGCTTTTTCACCACCGCCACTGTATCCATCAGACCTATCACTGTTAGCTTCTGATCTTTGAGATCCACTGCTATGGAATCAACTCCTGTTTATGTACAAGAATGGAGCACATAGTGACCAACAAAAACTTGCTAAGTACATCTTTTATTTATCTCGGCAGCTCCAAGAAACAACTACACGAAGAAAGAAAAAAGAAGAAGAAATACCAAAAATATCAGCAGCGGCTTCTATTGCTTTCTTCTTTGTCTTATCATCAGTCATGGTCAAGACCTTTAAAACCACCTTCTGCTACGGAGAAATTAACAAGAGTACTTGTTAAAAAATAAAAAGGAAGAAATCAATGCCAATAGAACATGAAAATAAAGAAGAGCAGGAGGGTACCTGAGCCATTAGAAGAGAGGGTACAGGAAGGGAAGAGAAAAGAGAAGTCCAAGTGCTTGATAAATTTGTGGTGGGCATTGTATGTATACACAAAGGGGTTTGAAGATGTGAGGTGGTGGCGGTGGTGGATTTCATGCAACTAGATGGGTGTGTGTGTGGATCCATGTCACTTTTTTGACAAAAATGATATGAAATTTAGTACGGTGATGGACAAGTTGGAGACAATTGATTGATTGGACTGTCACTGTTTCTTCTTCCTTTTCCGTTCTTCATAGAAATATTCTCTCTCGGTTGGTAATTGATAAAGATGTAATTTAGAATTTTGATATAAACAGTGGTTTAAAATTTAAAAAATTGTTTTTTCATGTGTATTTTTGTTGGATTGAAGAAAATATTAAGAACTCAACAGATTAAAATAAAATTATTTGAAATACCCATATTTTACTCGAATTATCCATGTACTTATCCCTAAACTTGATCATTTAAGAATCGTTTTCTTTATTTAAATTGAGGTTGAGTTGAAATTTAATAATTTTTGCTTTCAAATGAAATACCTAATAGTAATGGCAACATAGATATAGAAACCTTTTTGACAATCAGAACTCCAAAAGAGACCGGGAGGGCATGTCGGCGTCGGCGGGGGGGAAGGAAGGACGGAGGCTTTTCCTTCCCAATGTGCAGACAGCTTGAAGGTTGTAACCAAATTGCTTTCTCTGTCGTAATTAATTTACCCTTTCGGTCTTGAAGATTCCCTTCCTTGCAAAAAGTTGAAAAGAAAGATTGCATACCCCTCCCTCCATTGAAGGCTAGAAAAGGAGCAGCCCCTTTTTCTTCTTTCGAACCTGGAAAGTCTTTCACCTTTACGGGTAACTATTAAAGTACTTTGGTATCATTAATTATGTTGAAGACGATAAAGTTTTGAATTTCACGGAAACTTTTACGGTAACTAGAGAATATCTTTTTAATTTTTTTCAAAATAGAAAAATATAAAACACATTATAATAATAAATAATATTTTTATTAAGTTTACCAATTATATTGATATTTTATTTCTTAATTAAAATGATATATTTTAATTAAATAGCATGTGTGTTATCTAGTACACTGAGTTAGATTTTATTTAACATAAAAAAATCAAAGTAATGATAACTCAAGTTAACTCGGGTTAACTTAACTAATATATAATTTTGTATATGAGATTGAAATAAACCTGTAAAAAAAATTTAAGGCCCAATAGTCTAATGTCAAATGATAAAACAAAAACAAATCAACTTTTAAAAAATAGCATTGAAAAAAAATCAGGGTTAATCCAGTTAATTTGACCAACCAATCACTTACAATATAAAATCGGAGTAAAAAAGTTAGACTCTTACAAGAAGGATCTATAAAAAAAAGATTGAAATTCAATAAAAAAAATTAAAAAAAAACTTGAGTTAACTTGACAAATTCCCACTTGAGGTAACCTCACAAAAAAAAAAGAAATAATAAAGCTCAAAAGCTAATAATCTAATACCTAATGATAAAACTGGAAAAAAAATTAAAGAGAAATAAACTAAATCAACCAAAATTAACTTGATTAATCACCACTTGCGGTATAAGATTAAGATAAAAATAATTAGACTTTTAAAAGAAGATCCTAGCAAAAAAAGCCAAAGCTAAATAAAAAAAATGTTAGAAAAACCAAGATCACGAGGGTTGAAATAATTAGACTTTCAAAAGAAGATCCTAGCAAAAAAGGCCAAAGCTAAATAAAAAAATGTTAGACAAACCAAGATAACTAGAGTTGACTTAACTAACTTGTATTTAGGATAACCCCATAAAAAAAACAAAAAAAAAAAACAAAGTTCAAGGATCAATAATATAATGCTAAAGGAAAAAATTACAAAATTAGCATCAAAGAAAAAAAAAATCTATGTCAACATGCATTAAACTAACTTATTTATTAATGTGGATATGAGATTAGGATAACAGATATGAGATTAGAACAACCTAAAAAAACAAAAGTGAAACTAATAATAAAGTTCAAGGTTCAATAACTAAAATATAAAATGATAAATTTGAAAAATAAATCAATTTTTAATAAAAAAAATAAACTTAAATCGAATGTGGGTCATAAGACTGAGATTATCTTGTTCAAAGATAAATACAAAAAAAAATAAAGTAAAATTTATAATCACAAAAGAATTTAAAATTCAAATAACATGGACCAAATATGATATAATAACCAAATAAAAAAAATAATTAGAAAATAAATTGAAAAACAAAATAAATTAAGAAAAGAATAAAAATAGAAATCAAAAGAATAAACACCCAAATCAAATTAAAGAATAAAATAAAATAAGATATTGAGGGGCAAAATTAAAAGAAGATAAATAAAAAAGGACAAGAAAATGGCAATAAAAAAAGGAGCAAACTAGATAAAAAAAAATAAATGCAATAAAATAATCATGGATAAAATTAAAAAACTAATAAATCAAGAAAAGGGATAAAACAAGAAAAAAAATTAATAAATAAATAACAATATAGAATTTAACTTAAAATACAAACTTGAGAACACAATTTTTCTTAAATGGGTTATTTTTAATTTCTAGGTCAAGATCAAAGAGGAAAAAAAAAAGATGTTGGAAGCCAACCATGTTTTTGCTATAAACACGTGTTATACAATTGAAAAGAGATCGATCCACCGCTCCTAACACCACATGGTAATCGGATGAACCCGCAGAGGTCTTGAATGTTTGTTGCTTTAATAATCCATATGAGTTTGATGCATTAATATATAATAATCAATATGAATAGTATAGTCACCTTATTGAATTGAATTGGGAATAAATCTTCACAATACTAGCAATTTATGCGAATACCAAGTTAAATTTATTTCACTTGTTATAATATATAAAAGCACCCAAATTTATTGCTAGGGATAAGGATGGTGGCGTCTCAATTCCTTAATTTTAAGACCAAATTTTCACAGGGAAACATTATGTGTTCTTGTTCTCAAATGTCCAATATCAGATGAGATCAAGAGATTAATCTACCATTGAGGACAAAAACACATGATGTTGAAATAGGGGGGAAAGTCAATTGAAAGCTGGTCATCAACATTAAGCAAGTTGTTCAATCATGAAAACAAAAAAGAAATATCCTAAATTACACTAAACTCAAATGAAATCAATACAACAATCGTCTTAAAAAACAGGGAAAGAAATACAAGAAAAGGAAAAAAATAATAATTAAATTAGCATCACATGATAGTGCAAGCATGAGGATTGTCGTCGCTGAAAAGGGAAGCCACAGCCTCATCAGATGCAACAGCAAGTGAATAGACAGCAGGAGTGTGGAAAAAGGTGTGGACACCATTAGTGCTAGCAACATTCTTGTATGTGTCATAGTAATGGTTGACAATGTAGGTCGGGTACTTGTAAAAAGAGGTAAAATGAGAGTATCCTGGGAATGGCCATGGCTCTGCTGCTTTCCCTGCTCGTTTAATTGCTTTGATCACCTTCTTTTCCTCCAATGCATAGCCTCTAACAGTAATCTTTTGCACTTCCATCTCTATTTCTACCTCTTCTGCTCCTGATATGTACACATGAGAAAGATCAGATAGAGAGCTACCATTCAGCATACACAAAGTATTCTGAAACTCATTTGGTCTTTCATTTGGCCAAAATAACTATATCCAACATGTACTCGTTTATTTAGGGTGTGAGAAATTGGGCTATGAGATGAGACTAAACTATTTGCTTTCCTGTTTCCAGTCTCATGTAAAAAAATCAAACACTATCTCAATTCTGTACTCCAAATTAAGTTTGCCCTAGCAAAACATATATACGAGGCCCTCGACCACCTTTGAAATGAAATACTCAAGTAAGGTACTAAGGCATAGAATCGACAATGGCAACAATACATAGCCAGTACCATTGACAATATAATCGTCACCTTTTGTACAAAATGTAGGCCTACCTACCTTTTAGCTTGAGGAGAGCTTTCTTTAACTTCGAAGCACATCCCTCACAATCTAAGTTTGGAACTCTTACCTCTACCATCAGCTGCAATACCAACATGAAAGAATATCAATGTATATACTTATGAAACAAATTAATGCATGCATGTACATGTGCTTGCGAGAGAAAGAGACTTACAGACATGGTTGATGAAGTTAAGAATTTGGTGACTTTGGCGGGAGTGTGGAAGCTAGGGCTAATTAAGAAGGATGGGGAGCAGCTTCTTGGCTTTTGAAATTTGATTAAGCATGCAAAGAGATTGTTCACGCGTGGATTAGGAAAGCGTGAGAGCCCCTTTTATGCTCTTTTCTTGAGGGCACGCTTGCTCGTTGTGAAATGATCACATGCTCAAATCTATGACAAGAAAACATTTGCCAGTTCTATGTAGGACCTTTCACATGACTTCTGTTCTATTTCTTGATGATTCATATTGATTTTGATATGGTTTCTTTAAAAATTAGCGGTGCCCACTTCATAATAGGCCATCATCCATAATTGGCCAGCTATCTATTTTATCTTGTATTGTTATATATATATACCTGGACACAATCCTTTCGATGTCCACAAAGTCCACATAGAGACCATCAGCTTTGGCACTGCAAAAGAATTTCAGAAGTGCTGAAACTCACTCCTTTTTTTTTTTTTTAAATTACTTCTACTGGGAAAGGGAAGGAAAAGAAAAGGAAGAAGCTGAATCTCTTCTTTATCTATGATGTAAGGAAATTCTGACGTTAAAGGCACTAAACCTTTGTACAGGCCGCAGACTAGACCACACATACAACAATACCCAGTTGGGAAAGCACATCAAATACTCTTCAAATACTCTTTAACATACACACACAAGTATGATAATATTCTCTTATAAAGCTGCAAAAAAGAAAAAGGGGAAATGGAGATGAAAGCTATATCATTCACTTGTCCCTTCAAAATGAATGGAAGGAGCCAGCAGCCTCTATGTCATAATTTGGAAGGCTATCTTGGGGGCAAAATGATCATGGGTTTTATTTAATTTGATGGGCTGGGATTTAACTCTAGCTAAAAAAACAGTTTACTTTCTAGGCTGGCTGAAGGTGTCTTGATTAGCTTATGCTCTAGCTTCTGGGGTGGTCCAAGCTATATAAACTCCGGCTTTAGGCTTACTTATTCAAGTATCGTTTTGATTCCGCTGAGGCTGGTGCATTTAAGCCCAGGAAGATCTTTTATCTTCAGAAATTGTGGAAACAAACATCATATCAAAGGTAGAGAGAAGACGGGGCTTAAGAAGAAAAGAGCGAAATTATATACTGATAGCATTCTGTTTTGCCTTTTACATTTTTTTTAATTAATAGTGACCTTGAAGAATTAGATTTCTACAGGTTAGTGGTGTCTATAATTATTAATTTTTACTTTGTATTATATATGTTCTTATTTTTAACAATATTATAATTCTAGCTTTTAATTTCTTGCAGCAGATTGCTTGAAAAGTTAGCGCGCCATGCCCGGAATAGATTCTAAAGGAGAACTACCTTGCTCATTGCATTTCTAATACTAGAAGATTAACCCCATTAAAACCTATAACCTATATTAAACACCGCCAGTTGCAGCACTCTACCACCGCCCCGTGACACTCGTCCAACCACAAGACCAACTTATTTTCTCCTCTATACTTGTTTTTTTTTTTTTTTCTGGTAGATTGTTTTTCTTTTCTAGACTGCATGCCTGAAGGTGTCTTTGCTTAGATTTGTTTCATTATGAATGTACAATATCATTCCTATTGTTATATAACATTCCATCACACTCTTGGCTCAAAGATGAAAATAATGAGAGGATTCGTATTATTTTCTTTTGTTTCAGTTTTAAATATATTTTTTTTTGTCAATGTTAGACTAGTAAATCCGTGAGTTTTCTCACATAACTTTTTCTGAGATCTGATTTAAACCTGAAGCGATATTAAAATAGATCAACTTGTCATTCAAATTAATCAATATTACTTCAAAGATATTTGCAATTATATATGTGTATGTGTGCGCATAACAATGTGTTTTTTTTTAAGGAAAAGCACGCCATACTCACCCTATACTTTCCACCATCTATCTACCATCGTATGTTTCCCTTTCTATACGGACATAAATAATTGTGAGAGGCAACTGGTCTAGTAGGGTGTTTTTTTGTCAACTCGTGATCCCACCCCTTTCACCAAGCAAAGCTACCCTTTGAAAAGCCACATCTCATTTTCTTTAATCCCCAACAATATTTTCTTGTTTAACGGAGTCAATCAAGGATTTGATAGAGTGCTGCTTTCTCGAGCTTTGAGCACACCAGATACTATTTTTTCGACCCAAGGTTAATTACCTAGAGAGCAATAACTTGTTTGACAATCAACTCTTTACTAGATCCTAGAACTTAATTATCCTTGGATGTCTAGTTGGACTCCACTAACCATAATTAAGATCTACCTCCACTAGTAAAATGGCCACAATATGAGCCAGGTATTCAAAACCTAAGTCCATAACTAAAATCTTCGGTGTTTGAGCGATATTATGCGTGGTGAAACGTGAACCACCAGGAACAAGGCACTTCCTATGTTTGAGCTTTGTCAGTAGCCAGCGTTCCCATAAGGCAATAAAGCAAGGCACCTTTGTGCCTTTACTACTCTCTTCCTTTATTGCTGTAAGAAGAGGTACTGAAAAACACAGCAAACAGCCGCCTTCTCACGAGATTCTACCTCTCTAAACCGCCTTTCTTTGGACCTCGTCACAGTCGTCTGACATCTCCTCTTCCTCTGTCTCTCCTGCCCTTTTTCTCAGCTGTACTTGAAAAATCTCCCCAGGTCAAAACTCACTGTGAAAACTCGCTTGTAAGTAACATAGATCATATATGTAGGACTTCTGTCTCTGTTTTTTGGAAACTCAAAAGAAGAAAGAACAGAAACTCCCTCAACCCCACGTGTGGTTTAAGGAAAAAAAGGCTCATAATCATGTGTTTCAGAGCTCAAATCAGCCAAAACTGAAGTGCCCGTTTGAGGATACCATCCAAGTAACATGATTGTCAGATCTCCAAGTCATCAAAAGACATAAAAAACGAGAGGGATCAATAATAGCATGAAGCAGAGGTTTTCAGAAAGTATGATCTGGTGGCCATTCATGAAGTTACCAGCTAGATCGTCTGCTGTCATCTTCCTCCTTCTCTTCCTCCTCGTCGGGGCGTTGGTCTGCACGCGTCTCCTCGACTCCACTGTGAGTATTCATCAAAACTAGTTTTCGAAAATTATATATATCCTCCGTCACACAACTGTTATGTGAAACTCATCATAAGCATATATTCCTAACATTTTTTTTATGTTAATCCGACCGGTAGTCAAGTTAGCCAGTTTACCAAAACCGAACCAAGTTAATGCATTATTCGATTCACTTAAAATCAATCAAATAATTTAAGGTCAGGCTAAATTTAACAGCTATGATTGCAGACGATTCAGATTTATTGACGAGTGATCTTCTCATTAATGTCATTAAAAGAGATGAATAATAAAATTTTGATGGTATATAATTTTCATTTTTTTTATGGGAAAAAAATAAATGGAAATCGGCGAAGTTTCGAAGGGGAGAGTGTCGGTTCACCAAATGTCGGATGCATAATTGGCGGTACGCATGTTGTCTGTGACCCGTTGATGCTGTTTCTTTCATGTCGGAGGTCCCCCACTTCCATAATACATAGATAATTTCAAGTCTGCTTTTTATACTTTTTTAGCAGAATACCTGGAGCCCTTTTACTGGCCGGTATTTGACTTTTTCCGATCCCAAACATCGAGTTACATGCTCTCATGATTTCTGTTTTTTTTTTTTTTTTTCTTGGGGGGGATGGGGGATGGTTCCATCTCTGTCACACATTCAAATTTTTTTTTTTTCTTGGGGGGGTTCAGATAATTTTATGTTTCTTCATTTGCTTGCATGAGAATAGATTTCAAATTATTAAACCCGGTACATAGAAGAACTTGGATTGATTTTATCGATTTAAATTTAAAATAGTATCATTTTATTTTTTTAAATTAAACTGAGTTTTAATTATAACTCCTAAATAATCTAAACAATTCTTATATAATTTAATTTTAAATTCAGTCAAAATCAATAATTGTATTGATAGTTTATTAAATTAACCCATTAAACTATAACATATATATGCATGTATATATTGACATGTAGTTTATTGGATTGGATCATTTTTTTTTAAACAAGCATTATTTAAGACTATATATACCAGCTGAGTTATTAAAAAAAATATATATATTGAAGCACTTAATGTGGAATACATTTTATCAGTGAATGCTAGCTAACTCAGTTGATAAATTAAGGTGTATGGTGTTGTTCCACATAATTTGAGGGAAGATCTCATGCATTTACACTTAGAAAAAGGAGGATTTAGGGGTGCAATTAAAAGCTAGTTAGTTTTAGTCTAGAGAAAAAAGGTTCTCTTTTGTAAAATAATAGGTCCCATAAAAATTAACTTGATGTGCATGTGTTTTATTAATAACCTTGAGTGGTTTTGCATTCAAAATTGCAAAGTGGAGTAATATTTTTTAATAAGAAAATCCCTTGGATATTTAATAAAAAAATACAACAAAAATAACAAAATTATTTATAATATAATTTATTATTAATTTCTCAATTAAAAGAAATAGTTGTGCATTCCTAAAATCATTTATATGTATGTATCTAATATGTTTTATGTATTTAATTAATCAATTTAAAAACTTTTGAATTAAAATTAACCCCAATTCATATATTAAGATATTTCATTTCTTTTTCTTTTTCTTTTTCTTTTTCTTTTTTTTAACGTGTTTGCAGGTTATTGGTGGCAGCACGGTCGTGAAAACATTTTTGACTGTCAAAATCCCTAAAATACCCCGAAACAAAACCGAGTACCCGGTCAACTGCACCGCCTTCAACCCCACACGAAAATGCCCCACGAATTACCCGACGAACACTCAAGAAGGTCCAGACCGTCCATCACTCTCCACGTGTCCCGAGCACTTCCGATGGATCCACGAAGACTTACGTCCATGGGCCCACACGGGAATCTCAAGAGACATGGTAGAAAGGGCTAAAAGAACAGCGAATTTTAGACTGGTCATTGTGAATGGCAAAGCATACATGGAAAGATATAGAAAGTCTTTTCAGACAAGAGATACTTTTACAGTGTGGGGAATTGTACAGTTACTGAGGAAGTACCCCGGGAAATTGCCTGATTTGGATATGATGTTTGATTGTGTTGACTGGCCTGTTGTTCGATCAAGCGATTATAGTGGGCCCAATGCCACGTCCCCACCTGCTTTGTTTCGGTATTGTGGTGATGATGATTCCCTCGATGTTGTTTTTCCTGATTGGTCCTTCTGGGGATGGTAAGACCCTCGAAGCCATTTTTTCTAGTAGATCGGCATGTTCTGGTGTTTTTCTTGTAGTTTTATTATTCTAGCTAACGTCGCGTTCGTTGGTTCAGGCCAGAGATTAATATAAAGCCATGGGAGTCTTTGTCGAATGACTTGAAAGCAGGAAACAAGATCACCAAATGGATGGAAAGGGAGCCTTACGCTTATTGGAAAGGAAATCCGTCTGTGGCTGCAACAAGGCAAGACCTTATGAAATGCCATGCATCTGAAACGCAAGACTGGAATGCTCGCGTCTATGCTCAGGTAACAACAGGCCACTGGATCCCATCTGGACCATTCCTGCCTCACACTAGCCGGCGGATCTCGTTGGTGTGTGTGCCATGCACGGTCCGGATGGGGCAGTCGCAACAAGCGTGGCTGCTCGTAGCAGTCCTCCACGATGATCTACGTTGTCATATAACTGCTTTTATGATGCCTCAAAATCTTTCTTGCAGGACTGGATTAAAGAATCACAGCAAGGATACCAGCAATCAAACTTGGCAAACCAATGCGTTCACAAGTAAAAAAAAATATAGTAGAATCAATCTTTAGTTTCCATCTGGTTAAATTTGTTTACTTTATACGATGAATGCTCACTGTTTGTGCTTGCGTAATGCAATTGATGCAGGTATAAAATCTACATTGAAGGGTCTGCGTGGTCAGTCAGTGAAAAATACATTCTTGCCTGTGACTCTGTTACCTTACTGGTGAAACCCCATTACTATGATTTCTTCACAAGAAGTTTGGTGCCGAATCGGCACTACTGGCCTATTAAGGAGGATGACAAGTGCAGATCCATTAAGTTTGCTGTTGAATGGGGCAACAACCATAGTGAAGAGGTAAAAACATTTATGGCATTCTACTGCTCCATTAACATTAGAAGATAGAAGATTTCTCATTAGCACATAACATTCTTTCTCTGGATTGCCAGGCACAGGCAATGGGAAAAGCGGCAAGTGAATTCATTCAAGAGAACTTGAAGATGGATTATGTCTATGACTACATGTTTCATCTCTTAAATGAGTATGCTAAACTCTTAACCTTCAAGCCTACTATACCTGGAAGAGCTATTGAACTATGTGCAGAAGCAATGGCTTGCCCAGCAAATGGTCTAGAGAAGAAGTTTATGATGGACTCCATGGTGATGAGTCCTGCGGACACAAGTCCATGCACCATGCCTCCTCCCTATGATCCTCCATCTCTCCATTCCATTTTTCAAAGAAATGACAATTCTATAAAACAAGTCGAGTCTTGGGAGAAGGAATACTGGGATAATCAAATTAAGCAGTCTTAGCTACCACTATATAGTCTTGATATTTATCTTTCAATCCACATAAATAAATGTATAGTCTTGAATAACTGTTCTTTGCATTTTTGTCACTATGAGACGGATAAACATCTTTTGATGATAATGTTTGCCGAGAACGAATTCTATAAAATAAACATCTTTTATCAAGACAGTACCTTAGGCTGCTTATATTTTTGTTCTAATGATCTTAAATAGAATATGCTACGTTGATTTATGTTTTAATATCTAGCTGTCCGTTAAATTTCTGATTATACAAGCTAGTAACGTGACAGAAATGATCGTTAAACTTTAGTTCTGCTGCTGGCGCTCTTCGTTCATCTATTGCATCAACTAATCCAAGAACAATAGACCATGCAGGAATCACATTTGGGAACCTCTTCACTAGGAAAGTACTAGATTACTGCAAAAAAATAGTCATGGCAGTTCTCATCTGTTGTAAAATCAGAAACGAAGACAGCGGAGTGACACTCTTCAGTAGGCAGACTGCAGACCTGAATGGCATTGTTCTACGTTTCCTCTGGGTTCCCAAAGCTTGTTTTCGCACATGGATGGCCCAGTATGGATATTCGCAACATGCTTCTTCATCTTTATTTATCCCTTTGATTTCTACCTGTAAATAAAGTATTCTGAAAGCATTAGATAGTCAACATGGTAATTACTGTATAAGTAGCAATGCCTCAAAACAAACCTGCCACTGCATTGTAGTCGTAGCCTGTTAACTAGAGCTTTTTGTTGCCATCCATGTCCATTAATTATAAATGGTGTGAATGTTAATGCCATGATTTGACTGCCTCGGAATTTCAGTGGCAGGCATGGGCAGCTGGAACTTTGTATGCAAATGATGTTCAATGTCGCAACTTGTGTCAAGTGTTTTAAACAGAACAAATGGAGCCTTTTCCTTGTAATAATAGCTCAGGATAAATCAGTTGGCATCCTCGGAGTGGAAGAGGCAGCCAAGGATAAAAAAAACCTACATAGAAGTTTGAGAAAGCCATAGCCAAGCTCAAAACCAAAAATAGCAAAAAACTGTAGCAGCAGCAAAAGATTGTGTCCAGATTAGGCTCGGATGGTTATTGTTTTGAAATTTTCTTTATTTTTCTAGTTAATCTTGGATTCCTTTCTTAATTTGGTTTTATAATTTTATTTGATTTGGGTTTGTCTAATTAGAATAATTTAATATTTGAATAGTATTACATATTATTCTAATTATTTATAATAATAAGTATTTAAATTAGAATAATATCTGTTGAGTTTAACTTTAGTTTTAATGCTCGAGAAAAAATGAATAGAGTTATTTAGCAAAATTATAAATAATATTTTTTAAGATATTTAAGAAATATTTTATTATTATTATTTTATGTATATTTAACAAATGGAATCTTGAATAATCTTTATTTTATACTTATAACTTTTTTATTAAGTAGAGATATAATTAACAAATATATCTTATTTATTTTAAATGAGTATTTTGAGTCACTCCATAGAACTTAACTTAAACTAACTTTAAGTGAAGTTTAAAAAACTTAGCACAAGCAAGCATTTTCTTAATGAAAATACATTTAATAAAGGTGATATGAGAATTTATAATTTAAGGAGTACTAACAAAGCAATGCTTTCCAAATAGATATGAAAAAGAATTAATGTATTGTATAAAATTAATATTAAAAATTATAGTTTTAATACCAATGTATATTGAAAAGGAAAATTTATTTGTGAAATTTTATTTTTTTTATTTTTGAGTCAATTACTTCAGTGTCACTTCAATTACTATAATCAAAATGATATTTTATAGTATGAATATCTTTGTAATAATATAGAGAATCAAAATGGAAAAAGAGAAAAAAAAACTATATTTTTTTAATAATAAAAATTTTATTTTATTTCATATGAATTATGTCCATTTATATATAATTAGAGGAAGCGATTACTTTTTTTAGTGACTCCTCTAATAATTTAAACCAAACTCATTTATCATGTACAAACCAGATCTAATCCAATACCTAATATTAAGGGATTTTACCCACAAGTTGATTCATAGAAAAATCAAGAGATTCTAGTGATCCCATTTGCAGCACTCTCATTGATGCAACACCTAAAATTCGAGGTGGAGAAGGACAAGGGCACAAGGAAGTGAATAGGTTTTATGTGAGCATGGCATTGGGATTTGTGGTGAGTTTTTGGTCAGTATTTGGCTCCTTGATTATCAACAGGAGATGGAGGCACATACACTTTCAGTTTTTGGATCGCATGTGGTAGAAATCCAGGATGTCCGCAAGTTCTGCTAGATGTGATCTGCTTCCTGGAAGTGTCTTGTTGTAGATTAGTTTATGCTTCTTCTTTTCCAAATATTAGCAGTTAATCAACTCTATTGTATGCTTGTCATTAGATCAATCCTCATTTCAGTAACAGAATGCTAATTGATTTCAGCAAAGGCATCATATCAGTGATCCCTCGATCGATGAGAAGCAGGAATAGTTCCGTGTATTTAGACACTAACGTAGTGCAAATATCTCAACGAGTATTGAACATGACAAAATAATGCATAATATTACATCAAACAAGAAGGTTTAACATAAAATTCATATAACGAAAATTAGAACAAGTTAGAAGAATAAACATGAAAAAAAAAAAAACAAACAAGTAAATAAACACCGGCAAAATGTAATTTGTCAAGAAAGGCTGATTGCTGAAAGAAGAAACAAGAACAGTCTCTAAAGAGCTCGAGACTTTATAATGTCGAAGCTCATCTCGCTAGGATCGGTTGCTTGCAACTCCACTTGAATGCCATCTAGTTCCCTCTTGAATCTGTCTCTGGAGCTTGCATAAACCATCTTACTTCTCACCCTTGATGTATCAGGTGACCTACAAAGAAAAAACAATCTAGTTATGCTGTGTCTAGCTAGCATTTTACATATCTTGTTCAAAATGGTGACCCAATAAGAAGGCCAGCCTATAGCCAGAATCACATGCATAGTTTGCTCTTGATTATTGGTTTTTGAGCTAGGCATTATACGAAAGAAAATGTAAAGAAATTTGAGGAACTGTTAAATTACCATGCAATGAAGAAGATTTTACTTTTCTGGCAATTCTCATTGGTAATGAAATCATAGTCAAAGACAGCATAGCGACACTCATCAGCAGGGAGGGAAGCAGCGAATTCCTCGTAGGTTTCTTCAGGGCTCCCGAGTTTCTCTACCACCACTTGCTGAGATTCGATCTTGAAAATGATGAATCGATAGTTTCTCTTTGCCTTCAGTTCCAAAAACTTCAGCTTACATTCATCATCAACAGCCATTCCCGAAGCTGCATTAGCCTAATTATTCCAAATGTGAAGATAACAGAATAAAAATACACGAAATCACAGAATTTCCTAGAAAATATCTAACAATCATGGCCAAATAAATTTTAGTTAGTTCGCCTTTTTTTCCTTCCCTTTTCCTTCAAATCTTTCTCAATTCTCCGACGTAGTTACTAGATTCAAACTAGATGTAGTAACCATATTGATTTAGTGGCAGGTTTCCAAACATTCAACCATCAAAGATAAAAATAGTAATCATAGTTCTCAAAGCCTAGAACAAACCAAACTGCGTAATAGACACGGTTATTGAAATTATAGGGCATGAATCATTTAAGCAGCTAAATTCAATGAGTGAGCAGAAACGACCTTGATGCTCAAATAAGAAAAAAAGAAAAGGCCCCTACGAAAAATTTGATGAAACAGCAATGCTTATTGAATATCCACGCATTTGATCCAACAGCACATCATGCTAGGTTCTGTATAAATTATGCAAATCAATGTAGAAGATTCATGGCAGAAGCTTTCTTTTTCTCAGCCATCGTATCATAACTATCAGAATATATACCATAAAAAGGTTAGAGAGAAGGAGCATACCATGTTGCCTTCCAAAGAGAGCAAAAACCTTGTGAGAACCCAGCTGGAAGAAGAGAAAGGAAAATGGAATGGAAAGATGGGAAAATAGAAGGGAAGGGGATAGAGATCCTTAACTTGGGGTATACAATGAGAGCTTAGACAAATACAGGGAAGGTGAGAGATTTGAGGGGCAAAACATGGGCTGAGAATTGCCTAACATTTCAAGGCTCATCATGTCCACAACGAAGGTTTCGTGAATCAAAGACAGCAAAAATAGTAAACACCAAATGTTTAATGTTGCCACGTTGTGCCTGCCCTCTCACCCCCTTTATCAAGTATCAACCTTGCTGGCTTGTATTATTTTGGGAAAAAGGGTGCACCCATTACAAGGGTTGCATGTAATTATAATAATCTTATGAAGGTATTGGTCATTGATCTTCAAGAGCTTTCATTTTTATTTTTATTTTTTTACAGAAAATGGCTAGGTAGGCTTCTGTAAAGCTGTGGAAAATCGAACTGTGATTAAAGACCATGTGCAAATTGATCACAAAAATTCAACTAGTTTAAGTATGAAAAATAATTCTGATAAAAGATTAATTAAACAGATCATCCCCAAAGAACAAGGAAAAGGAAAATCTACAATTCAAGTGGCAAGAACAAAAACTTAATCAATTTATTAAGCACAAGCTATTGAGCACCGCAGAAAATGACACTGATTCAACACAAAAATGATTTGCCTCTTTGTAGGTATCACAGGAACATCAGATAAAGGTAAAACTGGAAAAGATGTTACAGATAAAGCTGTCATATTCATCACAAGACTCTTTCTATCCTACAAAGTTCACTATTTTGGGACCTTGTTTCTTCTTTGATTTTACATGACCATCCTTTGAATCGGGAGGAACAACTTTTGAATCAGTTGACTTGTCTTTTGGAATGCTAAACATGTTTTCTGTCATAAAATCATCATCAAGCTCATCTCCACTTACAAACTTAGTCACTCGCCCAGTAGGCCTTACTTCCCTTCCAATGGCTGAGAGTCAGAGATAAGTAACGGATAAGTAAAATATTACACATGACATAAAAAAATAAATGAAGAAGAAAGAAAGAACAAATATGGTCTTTAAAGGATATAAACGTTGACAAGAATCATTAGCAAAAATCATATAATGACAGTACTGGTTTGCAACCCAAACACCATATCTTTTACAATTCCCATATCAAGTCGCATTCCCATGCAGCTCATATTTCATTATGTGACCCAAATAGTGAGTTAGCACATAATATCAGGATCATATATGACTTATCATGTTATTTCAGCCTCGATCCTATTGCTGTGAGACTACAAAATTAAAGCTTCAACTCATAGGGCAAAGCATTCAAGACAAAATACTGTTATCGACCATTCCAATGGATCATCGTGATTTTTGCCAGCTCCAGTAGTCAGTATTAGATCATACAGTCAAAATTGCTAACTTTCTTGATCAAGCACTACCAATTTCCTGTTTTCTTTCTGTTGTCTAATAATGTTTCAGAAAGAGAATGACATCCAGAGCCTTCAAATTATAGTCAAGAGTTCTAACTACACTTGTCTTTGAACTATTTCATAAAGAACTGACGTGCACAAACAACATCCAAATACTACAGAACTTAAAACAACATCAACAATTTGCAATATACATAAGAAGGGGACATCGCATCAGACTATGCCCAACTCAAGATATGTATAAGCAGAAAATTTAAATAATAGCAGTTAAAAACTTGCATGTTTATGCTTACCTCCTCTGCCAAAGGCCATGTCACCTCTCTTGCCCTTATCGGGACAATCTCTAGCCAAATGTGTTACACCACCACATATTTTACAGCAACCACCCTGTTAAAAGCAATATATTTCTATGATGTCAAAAATAATGGATGAGTGGGGTGCCTAGATAGCTAGAGATGGAAGTCAATTAAGCATCTATCTAAATACCAAGTATGTTGCCCCACCATCAAAGAAAAGAAAATAGTGTGCACTGTGACAATGACAACCAAGAAAATAGTTAAGTTCCACATACTTTTGGGTATATGCCACGAGTATTTTTAGGACAGTCCTTGCTCAAATGTCCACGTTCATTACAGATAAAGCAATTGGCAAACTTTGTCCCCCCTGCATCATCAAAGAGAGAGATTACTTTTCATAATAACAATAGCATTGTCGAAGTATCAAAAAGGTCCAGTTCTCTTAACAAAACCAGAGGTTACTGAGCTCACTACTGAATTCACTCCCACTTAATAACTTCTACAAGGAAAGTTGAATTCCTTTTAATGAGTCATGCTATATGTTTAATAGGATTGCAATTTGCATCTTTTTTACACCATGTATAATGCCATACATATGGACCTAAATCTTGAAGTCCTCATCTAGTCAATTTCACCTCTCCTCAAGAATACTCCTGGTGACCAATTTCTAGGTCCTACCACTGGTAACTGAAAAAGTGTTTACATAAACAATCTATAACATAGCTGATTCCAAAATTCTAATTCAGTCATTTTTGTTTATCAGAAAAAAATACATGGACCGCCACTTTTCCATAGATGTGAAAATAATGATTCTGATTCACCAGTATTCAAGTTGCATTCACTAATAAACAATCAATCAAAACAATTGAAGGGAAAAAGGAAACCAATCACACAATATTTTATACCAAGAGATGTTTTATTTCCTTTGAAAATAATAGCATAAGAAAATCATATGAAAAGTCACCCTAGCTAGAGCTATCTAAACTCAATTGAAAGATGAATTACCATCTTCTCGAGGCTGAGGACATTGAGAAAGAGAGTGCCCTGTTTCCCCACAATTGTAACACAATTTCTGATCCATAGTCTCATCGTTCTTCTTAGGACAACGCTTCAGACTATGCCCACGATGCCGACAAAGCAAACATATCTGCAGCCATAACCATTAACACACAAAAACACCACCATCAATTTCTTCATTTAACTAAACAATGTCTCACATCCAGCCATAATATCAACGTTTCAATGAGCAAGAAACTTCAGTTATAAGCATAGTCTACACATAATATCCAATTCCATACCTACTTTTCTTTAAATTTCATAGCTGCAACACTATCAAGAGCAGAAACTCATATCAAACTCAAAAAAAAAAAAAAAACTTTTCTCTAACCCATTCAATACCTACCAGGCAACAAATACTCAAACTTTATGAGAATCGCCTATCAAACTGAGTAAAAAAAAATTGTTTTTCTCTAAAAATTCACAAGGACTCAAATTTTCAGAGAACTATAAACCAAAAAATAAATAAAAGGAACACACCTTATTCTTCTCCCATTCATCTTTTTGAGGGCAAAGTTTGGCAATATGGTCTTGGGCTTTGCAAATAAAACAACTATCACCAGGCTTCATACCAGGAACTCTAAGAGGGTGTTTTCTAAACCCTTTTTTATTTGCTTTATTTGGGTCTTTTGGGTCAGAATTTTTTCTCTTGAACAAGCTCTTCTTCTTCTTCTTCTTCTTCTTCTTGTTGTTGGGGTCGTTAGGTGGTGTTGGTTCTGGTTTTGGAAACAACTCTGGATGTTCTTCTTTGTATATCTTTCGTGCTAGTTTCTGCCTTTTGCTCACCATCTTGTCTTCAAATTATAGAGCTAAAGAAGAACGACAGCCGTTGTTTTCAGAGGAGCTTGGACTAAGAGGAAGCTGTGTCTTTGTGTAGGGTTTTACAGTGGCAATGTATTCTCTCTCTTCTTCTTTTTTGGCCGGAGACTGGAAGGAGGGATTTGCAACAGACTTCTGTATTTTTATGTCCAGTTCTAAGTCCAGTTTCGCAATTATATTGGCTAGGCCCAGCTCAGCTCACCAAGATTGAATCAGAATTTTGCCCAGTCTTATCCCTTTGTCAGGGAAAATGGCCCAGAATTAAGTTGGGCCGAGGTAATAAAAATGGAGATGGTTTCCACTTGGTTACAACTCCTAACGTGGTTCAATCTGACCTGGCTATAAGACACCCAAGTTTAGTCACATCCATGACCTCAAAGGTTCCAAAAACCCAGATTTCCTGTGAGCAACCAAACTGTAACCAAATACTTTAATAGTTCCATATCGATCCATCTCCATACGTTATCGGCAAAAATAGTTACAGAAGGTCCTCCATGACCTCATTGGCGTCCATTTAGTAGCATACGAGCCACTAACTTTAGCCAGTACTTGTCAGAAAAGACAAACAAAAACAGGAGGAAGAAAAAAAAAATTGCTAAATTGCTACTTTCAGGTATATGTTTCAATCACAGTGCGGCCAAATGACTGGACTGTGTGCCCATATTACGTCGGCATCCAAAGTTTTTCTTTTTCTTTTTCTTGATGTTCGCAATTACATGTAGCTGCTAGTGAGATCAAGAGTTGATGAGCTGTTAACTAAACAGGATGGCGCCTGAGGAAATTAATCGTGTTACCTCTTTTCCCCGTATGTGTCACCGGGGACGCCGAAAGCAACTGCTTCAGCAATGTCAGGTTTAGGTAGAAGCACTGCTTTCACTTCAAAGCATGCTCTTTATTTTTGTGACAATATAGTGCAGTGTGGTTTGTCCAATTTTGCATAGATCTCTCTTTTAAAACTTCAATTTGTTTTAAATTTATTTTTTATGCTGTAATCGCAAAAACTACAACAATTTACGTTACCAAATATACATGTATTCATCAGGAAAACAACTCGTTAAGTAAGGTGTGCATGATCATGTATGCTAACATAATAGGTAGATTTGCGCGTTGAAGCAACAGATCAACTGTCACCAACAAAATAATTAGGAGAGTTATTACTTTCCGAAAACGAAAATAACGTACGTGTTTATTCCCCACTACCTAAATCTCATTTGCAAAAGATGAATTGCTCCCATCTATCTGTCTACCTCATAACTTATTTTGGAGGAGAGCAAATAAATGACAGTATTTAGGCACCAAACTTGGGGACACTAGCAGTTGAAATTTGAGCGAGGAAGTGTTCTGATACAATCCTTCGTTGGATTTTCCCACTGGCTGTCTCTGGAAGGGAGTCTGTAAGGAAGACCTTCTTTGGGACCTTGAAAGCTGCTAGGTTCTTCTTGCAAAACCTCAGCACCTCCTCCTCGTCAATGTCTGTTCCATCTCTAGGAATTATGGCGCAATTTATCTATCGATGACACAAAACTAGGTGTTAGCAAACCTCCAACTTCTCTTGAAATTAAAAGTTTGAGATTAAGAATTGTAGCTGGTATTTCATTGCCATCGCTCGTCAAATCACATGCCGAAATAAAATATAGAAGCCAACAGTTGGTTAAAGGAGTGATAATCATCCGTGTCAAACCATGCATCTGCATACGTGATCGGCAGGAATAATTACAAAAGGTCTTCCATGACCTAATTTCCATCCATATTATAGTAACATATGACCGGTAACTTTTGTCCGTGCTTGTCAGAAAAACAACAGAAAAATAAAAGTAAATGCTACTTCCTATGACTGGACTCTGCCTATATTACGTCGGCACCCAAAGCAGCTTCTTCTTTTCCCCCCCTCTTTAATAATGTTAACAATTTTTTTTTTTTTTTTTAATGTGGCTCCTAGTGGGATCAATAATTAATGAGGTGTTAACTAGACAGGATGGCTTGATGCTTGATAACGGAGGAAATAAATTGAGTTACCTCTTCGCCATATTTGTCATCGGGAACTCCGAAAGCAACTGCTTGAGCAATGTCAGGATGAGATAGAAGCACTGCATCCACTTCAACTGGTGATATTTTCTCCCCTGAAAACAAGATCATTCACAAAAAAAAAAACAAAAAAAGAGGAGCAAAGGTCAGCTACCTCGATTAGGATGTCGTATTCATATACACAAGTGCTGGCAATTTGTGTTTATTGTGATGAAATAGCTAGGGTGGCAAACGCCAAGCAACAATTCACAAGATGTAAGAATCATCATATTTTCCTAGGTGGCCACGCAAATGTCTTCATCAAACCTTTTGTTGTCACTTGAAAAGAGGTCAAAATCAATAGAGTAATTTGAAGAGGGCAAAACCCAGAACGGAACACTTCACTCTCCGACCAATCTATAATTTTGTACCATGATACTTTGAATTAAATCATAATTAACATTACCTCCACGATTAATAAGCTCCTTAATCCTCCCCACAAGATGCAAATAACCATCCGAGTCGAAATAACCTAGATCACCCGTATGAAACCACCCGAACTGAAAGGCAACCTTATTAACCTCCGGATTGTGTTTATAGCCCTTTGTCACATTTGGACCTCTAAGGCACACCTCGCCACTAACATTAGCATCTTGAATCACCCCGTTCTCGTTCAATATAGCCATTTCTTGACCGACCGGTTTACCAACCGACCCCGCCTTATGAGGCCCATCTTCCGGTAATGGATTCGAACACATCAAATGGGTCGCCTCTGTCATCGCGTAGGCCTCCAAGACTGGTGTATTGAATGCCTCCTCGAGTCTAGCTAATATAGCCGGGGCAAGCGAGGCGCTACAACTCCTAATGAACCGAAGCTTTGGGTAAACCGATTCTGGGGTACTAAAATGCCGATCCAAAATTATTTGGTGTATAGTAGGGACAGCGGTATACCATGTGGCGTTGTATTTGTCCATGTCTTTCCAAAATGTTGAAGCCGAAAATCGGCCCGCAGATGGTAAAGCCACAGCTGCTCCGGCCGCGAGCGAGCTCAATAACCCGGCTAACAACCCGTGAACATGGAACAACGGCAAGACTATCACAGTCGAGTCTGACTCGGTGAGTTTGTACACCGATTTAATGTTATTAACCGAAGAAGCCAAATTGAGCTGAGTCAGTGGCACCCCTTTGGGCCGGCTTGTGGTGCCTGACGTGTGCAAAAACAGAGCCATATCAGATGGATCGTTAATGAGCTGGCTGATCAAATCGGGGTCGTCTGACTCAGTTGGACCGGGGGAAAGATTGAGTTCAGAATCTGCTCCGCTGAGTGTGGCGGAGGCGTGAGGGATTTTAAGCTTGGAAGCTGCGGCTTGGGCAGAACTGTTTCCTTCCTGTTGGGTTAATAATAGCTTGGACTCTGAGTCTGATAAATAAAATTCAAACTCCTCCGTAGTGTAGGCTGCATTTAACGGCGCTGCCGTGGCGCGGGCCCGTATCACGGCCAAAAACATTATCACAAACTGTAATCATCAAAACAAAAACAACTAGGAATTAAGGTTGCAAGACTAAATTTAACGTAACCAAGAACCTGGTTTAAAATCCAAATGTTGCTGAGAAAAGCATCGATATTTAGATATACACAAACATAACAATACTGATTTTACGAGAAAAAACGAAACTAAAAACCTCAACAGTGTTGGGAAACGTGAGTGCAACAACATCTCCAGGTTTAATTCCAGAGGCAACAAGGCGAGAAGCGGCACGTTCGATGATTTCATGGAGACGAGCGTGAGTTAAATCTAATTTGCCAGAAACAGAGATGGCTCGACGGTTAGGGAATTCTCCGGCTACCCGTTTTAACAACCCGGTGAGTGTTGGAGTGGCCATTTTTTGTGAAAGGCGAAGAGATAAGGAGGAGAGAGGAGGAACGTTGCAATGAAGAAAATCTGAAACTGATCACGTTAAAATATATAGAGAGAGGGTCCGAAGGGGGGAAGGTAGAGATGGCGAATTCTTCGGTGTAGGCTTCACTTGGTGGAGGTTGACACGTGGCGAGATGGGAATATCCGTGAGTGGTGCTCGGTGCAACGCGAATCACCGTGGTATTTCATGGCCTGTATTTTGTGAATATTAAATTAAATTAAATAAATGTTAAAGATGGGGGTGAAGTTCATTAAATTAAAGTTACAATTCAAAGGAAGCATTAATGTTTTTTGGATCGGTTTTTTCAAGGCACGTTAAATCTTTTTTTCAAGTAGGAATCGGATTGGGAATGTTCTTTTAGGATACGTCGTTAGGAGAGCTAATTATTAAATTAAGTCCCTATAATTAACCATAAACTAATTACTGGTCTCAATGGTGTAGAGATTTATGAAACATCACTTAACTACCATTCTCTGTCCTTAATTCAATTGATTGTTTTTTACACAGAGGCGTTATTTCCAAGTCAAAGTTTCCTACCTGATCCATAACTTTTTTTAATTATAAGAATTTTAAAACGAAATAAATAGAAAAGGAATAGAAACGAGAGCTGGAGAGAACTAGATCATAAAACGGATTAAAAAAACATAAGACTTGTATAGATGGATTGAAACCGCAAGCAACAATTGGTTAATTACAGGATTATTGTAAGACATGAACAGGAAGAGATGTCGGGGATTGATTTGCCTGGAGAATATCAATATTTATCTGTACAGGTGGCCGGTGAGAACACGCGTGGCTGGGCCTAGTGCCTGAGTTCTTCTTCTCGATTCTTGGAAACGCTGACGTTTGCTGCTTGGGGACAAATAGACATTGCAGCATGTATACGTGGGGGTTGTTTATTGGATACTGAGCACGGCTGTCCTTCCTGTAACTGGCCACGAAGTACACCTGTCATCCATGATGATGATGACGATGATGTGAGGTGATGTCTCCCTGTAAAGAAACTGCCAACACTAGATAGAGTTCTTGCTCAATTTCCATAGCACTGTATTAAAATCAATTGATCGATGCAGAAAATTCTTTCTTAAATTTCGGCTAAAAACCCGCTATAATTTATAACTTCTTTAAAATTAGTTTTCTTTTTTCAAACATAACTATAAAAACTATCATGATACAGAAGATACTTTAAATACATAATAACAGGGAGTAGTGCTTGTTGTTATGGGGTCCTCTTTCACTTGAATTGACGGTGGTGATGAATTTTTTTATTTCTCATTGATAACAATATTATTGTCGCTATAAGCTAAAATACTATGACTTCCTTTTGTTCTTCATTGTTTATCAAACACATTAGCTTGTCCACCCCAATGCTCACACGCGATTTTCTTTTTAGTTCATGAAATTTGTGCTTCTTTACGTATTGATCATTGAACTTGCTTTATTTTTTCAATTTTAACCTTTCAGATTATGTTCTCATGGTCTTATGTGTTGGTATTTATTTCTATTTCTATTCATCCATGCGTCTTATAGTATTTTAATTCTAAATTAATTTCATATACTGTTAAATGCTAAATTAAAGTTCTATTTCATAAGATATACTTTAAATTTATTTTTGGAAGTAAAATTGAAAAAGCGTGAGAAAGATCATTTTCATCCTTGAAGTTTCAAATTATAAATGTTTGGTCATGATGTTTTAAATTTTTATGTTTCTATTTAAAACTTTGTTTTTATTATATCTCAGTCTTTATGTATCGGGGAATGGTAGAGGAAACCTACTGAAAAACAACAGAAAAAGAAAACATAATTGGTTATCTACATCCTAACCACATAAACAGTCAAACTTTGTGTTAATAAGTTCAACCTGGGTAGGGAAACTCATGGGGATGCTTTCATCCTTAAACATGCAGAAAGAAATAGTTTAGGACTTGTTACTTTGTTTTTTTATCCAGTTAGATCATAAGCTTTTAGGCTAATGAGATAATGTTTTAAGATTCAAAATGTGTTTATTAAGGTTTATATAGTATTCTGTATGGGTTTTTAGAAAAAAATACTAATTAACAATAAATTTTTAAGATGTAAATACTTGAATAACGGTGTAAAATCAAACCACGTGTCCTTCATTGAAATAAAAACAATATAGCAATTAGCAAACAATGTGACATTGCTTTCTTCTTCTATTTTTAAAAAGAAGAAGGCTAGGTGCGTGAGGCCCTTTTGGACGTAGGCTTTTTCTTGTACGCCAAGTGCAAGCCAGGCCTTAAAAAAAAAAAAAACACCTTATTTTAACGAACGGGATATTGTGAGGAGTTAAAAAACAAATTCTCCTCCTCCTTCCCATAGTCTTTTTTGTTATTATTATCTAACGAGGAAGAGGGAAGTTTGTTTATGGACTCATGACTACTCGAAGGGGCAGATGACCTTTTGAATGCCATACATGAAACAAACTGACATTATCACTAAGAAAACAGGAAGCACGAAAATCTCAAAGATCTACGTCATGATGCCTCTGCTCTCTTAAAGAGCTAAATGTAGGGGTTCAAAAAACTGAAAAATTAATTAAATTAAAAAAATTAAACGGTAAAGAAGAACTTATTAAAATTTTAAAAAATTGATCGGTTTAATTCGGTTTTGATTTTTTAATATAAAAAATAAATTAAATCAAATTAAATAAAAAATCGAATAAAACTAGAAAAAAAATATAATCAAATCAATTTAAATTAATTTTTGTTTTATTAATTTTTTATAAAAAATTAATTTAATTGTTTTTTTCTAAAAACCAAATCCCTCTCCACACACATGCACATGTGCATGTACGGGACACAATAAAAGCTTAGCTTAATTCCTGGAAACATGTATAATAACTTGTGCATTAATTAATCCCATGGCCGTGCAGAACTGTTGAATGCTCCGAAGAATCTTCATGTATCTACTGTCCTGTTCTGTTCTTCAACGGTGCACGGACTTTTGTTCCTATAACTATTAAATTGATCCCAGGATAATTTTTAGGATTGAAGGAACTGGTCCATGCAAGGCTCTCTCCTAGCTGGCTTTCCGGGCGAGGCAAGAGAGGGCAAAAAACAGAAACTTATTCGATCAAGGAATTAAAGTTGGGCTATACTCATAAAACAATCGAAAGGGTTGCTGGGCTATACTCTCAACCTGGACTTGAGAAGTTGGGCTCAACGTTTCTTTCAGCGGGGGCGAAGTTAAATTAAATTAAATTAAATATATGTTAAAGATGGGGGCGAAGTTTATTAAATTAAAGTTACATTTCAAAGGAAGCAATAGCATTGATGTTTTTTGGATCGGTTTGCTGCTTGGGGACAAATAGACATGGCAGCGTGTGTACGTGGGGGTTGTTTATTGCATACTGAGCAAGGTTGTCCTGCATCTGGCCACGAAGTACAGTCTTTTTATATAATAATAATAATAATGCTGACGATGGTAATGTTTTCCTGTAAGAAAACTGGCAGCACTAGATGGAGTTCTTGTTCAATTTCCATGGCACTGTTTTAAAATCAGTTTATCAATGCAGATTTAATAATAATTAGGTTAATAATAATAAAAAAAAGGGTTAATGGTGGTGGTGGTGATTTTTTGTCACTGATAACAATATTATTGTCACTGTAAGATACAATAATATGACTCTTTTTGGTTCTTCACTGTTTATCAAACACGTATTAACTTGTTCTTCCCAATACTCATAAGCAATTTTCTTTTTTAGTTCATGAAATTGTTGCTTCTTTACATATTGGTTATTGAACTGACTTTTATTTTTTCAATTTCAACCTTTCAAATTATGTTTCTGTGTTAGCATTTATTTCTATTTCTATTTTATCCATGTGTCATACAGTATTTTAATGCTAAATTGATGTCGTATAGTATTAAATGCTAAATTAAAGTTCTATTTCACAAAATATAATTTAAGTTTACTGTGAAATATAAAAATTAAAAAAACAGGGATTGAAATTGACATTTGTAAAAAGCGGAGTTGTTTTTAAAAACACGAGAAAAATCATTTTCATCCTTGAAGTTTCAGATTATAAATGTTTAGTCCCTGATATTTTAGATTTTTATGTAGCAATTTAAAACTTTATTTTTATTATGTTTCAACCCTTATATACTGAAGAAAGGTAAAGAAAGCGCTGAAACAAAAAAAAAGAAAAAGAAGAGAGAACATGGTTTGTTGGGCACATTTTTGCTATAAAAATAGTCAAATTTTGTGCCTACAAGTTCAAGTTATGCGGGGAAACACATGGAGGTGCGGGAAAAAATGGTTTAGGATTTGTTAATTTGTTTTGTATTCAGTTTAATTATGAGCTTTTAAGCTAATGAGACAATGTTTTAAGGTTTAAAATGTGTTTATTAAGGTTTATATAATATTTTTGATATGTTTGTAAAAAAACTAATTAAAAATAAATTTTTAATATCTAAATACTCAAATCTTGATTTTGTAATTATTAAAGTGATCAAACAAACATGTGTCCTTCATTGCAATAAAAACAATATAACAAACAATGTTCTCTTTTTTTCTTTTTTTAAAAAAAGAAAAAACCTAGGTGTGTTAGGCCCATTTGCACCAGGGCTTTTCCTTGCATGCCAAGTGCAAGCCAGGTCTTAAAAAAACAAAAAAAAGGAATAGTATCATGTAAGGAGGAGTAAAAAACAAATTCTCCTCCTCCTACCCCCCCGTAGTCTTTTTATTATTTATTATTTATTATTTATTATTTAGCGAGGAAGAGGAAGAGGAAGAGGAAAAGGAAAAGGAATGTTTGTTTATGGACTCATGATTACCCGAAGGGGCAGATGACCCTTGAACATGTACTGCATACATGCATAAAACAAAGTAAGAAAACAGGAAACACGAAAATCTCAAAGATCCACGTCATGCTTTCTTAAGAGTTAAATGCACTGAACTCCTCTCCCCCTCCACACACACATGTGCATGTACGGAACACGGTCGAAGCATAGCTTAATTTATGGAAACATGTATCATAACTTGTGCATTAATTAATCCCTGACGGTGCATAACTGTTGAATGCTCCGAAGAATCTTCATGTATCTACTGTCCTGTTCTTCAACAGTGTACGGACTTTTGTTCTTGTGACTATTAAATTGATCCCAGGATAATCTTAGGATTCAAAGAACTGGTCCATGCAAGGCGGGCTCTCTTCTAGCTGGCTTTCCGGGCGAGGCAAGAGAAGCAAACTTGTTCGATCAAGGAATTAAAGTTGGGCTATACTCATAAAACAATCGAAAAGGTTGCTGGGCTATACTCTCAACTCGGACCTAAGAAGTTGGGCTCGACGTTTCTTTCGGCGGGTCGAAAATCCCTTCCTAACACTAACTACAACTTCGCACTATGATAAAGGGATATTGAAAAATCTACATCCTGATCACTTACTTGCATGACATGTGCAGCAGTATGACTTAAAGGCCATGGCCGCATCCTTCACGGTTTAAAGAGCTATGACATTTCGATAACAACCATGGCCATCGCTGCTCAGAAGCCATCCGCATAATCTTATGAACTGCCCCTTCAGTATTTGCAGTGACTTGGCAACATGCTTATATAGGCTGTTATTGGCATTCGAAAGCTGGTCGTTGTTTTTGGCGGGTAGAATCATCAGGGTATATATTATCCAAAAAAAAAAAAATTGCCCCGGCGATATTTAATATTTAAAATGCAATAAAATTATTAGTGTAATTATTGAATAAAAAAATTAAATGCCTTTGATAAAAAGGTTTTTTAGTATTTTCATATTTCATACAATACTATAATACATTACCCTTACCATTCGATTTTTTTAGCCTTGACTTAAAGAGTTTGGCTGTAATATTTCATGGTTTGTTTATTATTAGTTTTTAGCACAAAGAGCACTTTTGGCTTTTTACAAATAAAAAAACAAAAAGCAACTTCTCCATTGCCTTCTAAAATTGAAAGTAAATACAAGAAGGGAGATCAGTTGCCATAGTGTCATCGATAAAAGCACCATCGAGGGGCCTTTATGTAATAATCAAGTTAGTTAAGGGTTTTTTGGTAATTAAAATCATATAGATATTATTCAAACAAAAGCAACCAGGCACGTGAAAATGCACGTGCCAATATGTGAGATGTTTTCATGCCTTTTGAGTTACATGTGAGATGTCATTTAGTGGTCGATGGATGGCTTCTAGGATAAAAAGTTGGCTTCCAAGACAATGTTTGGATTGTCTTGACTTTCTTATTGTTTAGATACAACACATGTTCTAAATTGACTTTTAGTTAAGTATGTATAGTTTTTTTTTTCTCCCTATTCTCTCTCTCTTCCTTAATTCCCACTATGACCCTTGAAAATTTAAACCCATTTCTTTAATTTGTTATTTCTTTAAAAATATTTCTTTATGGTTAATTATTGTTTTTTTTTGTGTTATTTATATGATTTTTTTAAAAAAAATTATATTATTAAATTAACTAGGTTTATTGTACTTGGTTAAGTGAATAATTCAAATTTTATTTTTTTTTCATATTTCTTTTTAAAATACTAGCCCTTCCTTGACATTTTTTCTTTAAATTAGAAATTTTTTGACGAATGTCTACTTTCACCTTTACAATGTAGGTTCTTAAGGGAGTCAGAACAATAACCCCGTTGAAAAGCACAATCATGTCTTATTGTTCAAGCCTTGAATATGATGAGGATATCGGGGGGGAAGTTGTCGTTAATAAATCGATTTAGGTGTGAGGGACTTAATCTCGATAAACGAAACTAAGTTGATTTCAGGATAATTTCACTGCTAGAAAAAGTCAATGTTAAATACTCTTGCTCTGTATATGTACTGCTCTCCCCTACCAGCTGGTTTTCCCGGTGAGGCAAAAGAAGGCGAAAGCAGAAACTCATTCGATCAAAGGCCATAAAATAAACAAAGTGGGGCTGTATTTATAATACAATCGAAAAGAAAAGGATGCCAATGACTTACAACTGAATGGATTGCTCAAAGGCAAAAACACGACACTAGCTACGAGGATGAACCAAGAACATAAAGCAAGTAATACAAACATTTCTCACCACATCTACCTTTAATTAAGACACTTGGGTAACACCTTATTGATTCAAATGACCAACACAGCACATGCTAGTATGCACACATCATGCTAATTAATGGTGGACTACTCAAGGCCGGCCGGCTGTTGAAATCTTGGTTGGTGCCACTACTCCCTTATTGTCACTTGCTAATATCTGCATGTAGACTTTCGTTTCCTTTGCTTTCCCTTGCATGAGGGTTAATTAATAAGGTGACATTGCTGGGGAAACACTAACAGTGTATGTAACTGGTTCAACTGGTGCTGGGGCATCTGTGTATTTCACTGCCTTCACTGGTCCTGGTGCAACAAAACCAGAACTTTTGATATCAGCCATCAATCCTCTCCTGACATTTCCCTCTTGTGCCTCACATAAGCCGGGGAGGAACACACCTGCGGAAACAAAGAAATGAAAATCGATCATTAATTGTAAGTGGCTTTCGATAATTTACCTGAGTTCCATTGTCAGTTATTATTGAATGATGGGCATGTTTATTGAATAAATTAATTACCTTCAGCAGCGGCAAGGTTGAAGTAAAGATCGACAACGTTAGGGCAGCTATCGTAGCACTGAGGAGAGCACAGTTGTTGTGCGAAGCGAGACTCAAGGAGAGAATCCGATGAGATTCCAAGTGATTTTCTGTCAAGTCCACATGCTTTGATGCATTGGTCTGTTTCAATCCAGTTCCTTAATCTATCAGCCTCAATTTCAGATGCGCGGCAAGTGTATGCTTCTTCTCCGGTCCTTTTTACACTTTTTTCGAGCACGCAACGCTTGCCGGACGATGAGATTGCGTAGGCACATGTGTCTTGGTCAAGATGTTCACATGTTATTTCTCCTGAAACAATAATATCATTAGGGTCTTGTTAAAGAAAATTCAAGAACTTTCAAGAAGGGCTGCCAGCTAGCTTCTTGCACTGGCAAAGAAATAAAGAAATTGAGAGAAGTCTCTGCTTACCTAGAGTACCTTGCACACAGATGGTAAGGGCGAGAGCCAGGACTGACAGGATATGGAAGCTAGAAGTCATGATTAAGCAGAATTAACAGATACTTGGTGCCCAAGATTTGTAAAGCTTCAAAAAACTGTACTTGTCCTAGGAGCTAGGAGCTTGTTGTGAGGAATGAAGGGCAGGGTGTGGGGGGCATTTATACGCGTTTAAGGGCACTGTAGAATATTGGAAAACAGTGACAGGAATGTTAGAGCTGTGACTGTATTGTCAACGTTACAACATGTGCTCATGGGTCTTGGTTATTGGTACAAAAACGGGTAATCGTGCCCTTAATTAAGGCCACCAATTCCTCTGTTTCGAAAGGAATTGTAATTACCAGTCAAAGACGTCCGAAATCAATGTGGGGGGAGGGTGACTTTTTACCATGCCCGTGGCCCATGGCTGTGGAAATAGTGAAGGTCTTTATTTGGCTCTACCACAGGAAGCTGCCGGTTTGAAGACGACTGATCATGCCGCTAACGGTCAAGCTTGCTGTTTGGAGCCTTTAACGAGTTGTGCAAATGAAGGCGTGATTGGGGCTAGCTAGGTCTGGTTGCTAGCAAATGTTCTTGGACTGGTATGCTAACCATTTGACAGGTTAATTGATTAATTAATGCTTCTTCATAGCTGAAAGAGAAATGTTTTGGACAGTGTCCATGACCAAATACCAATGCAATTCTCCAAGATGTCCTTCATGAAGGGTGAAGCAACAATATTCTTACCTCGGAGAACAATGTCATTGCCGCAGCCAGAAAAAACAATTCTTCTCGCAGTCAATTTTTTCTTCTTCTTCTTGAGGTGTGCTGTTAACATTGCTAATTTGCTATGCTTGTTTATATAAACAAGCTTGATATTTAACGCGGGTCCAAGAATCATTGCATAGGTACAGACCAGTGTCTTCACGACTTGGAAACGTGTGAAAGTGCACGGCAAATGTCATAGCTATCTTCATGACCTGCATTAAGTAGTTTGAAACTTTCTTAACAACCCATAAAGAATGCACCTTCGAGGCTGATGAATTATCACGCCGGTCGGTCACGCAGTGATTGATTTTTTTCCCATTCAAATTTCAAAGACCTGAGCAAGTATTTCTCATTCTCTCCCCCATTTCGAAGGCTTGGAATTAATGGAGGTCGTCCTCGCGAACGATTTGACTATAGATCCATTTCAAATAATTACTGTTCTCTCCATGATTTTACACTCCAGAATTGTGGGAGCAAACTCTTGTAGGGTAAAGAGTTTAACTAAAATCCTAACTCAATTGATGCTCCTGAATCGTGAATTTATTCACAGAGATTATTAATATGAGTTTGATAAGTTTATTAAAGATTTATATAATTATTAATTTTAGAATTTATAGAATTAATTAAAATATAAACAAATTGACCATACAACCAAGTTAATTTAAAATAAAAAGGAAAACTGAAATAAGAAATCTGGCACAGAGGTAAATCTCATGTTCAATGGATATTGCTGCAGTTTGTAACGTCTCTCATGATGAAAGTAGCCTCTTCTGGTCGGTGTTAGAAGCTGGAAGAACAATTGAGCTGCCATCTCCATTGATCATGGGCCATATCAACTCTAATTTTTGCGAAAAATAACTCAGTTTCTATTTTATTTTGAATTAATTTGATGGAAGCTGAGACAATTAAACTTAGTTATGAAAAGTGATCAGGGTTTCGATTACCTTTTCGATTACATACAAATAATAGTCAAAACTGAAGCTGTCCCTGTGAATGAATTTAATTGGACATAGATAAGTCATTTTCTTAAAAACAAAAAAAATATTGAATCAACTCTCTTTCTATTTGAATCAACTCCTTGTTCTTATTATTAATTTGAGCTGAATCTTTAAATGTATTTATTTAATTATGATGATATAAATTTCAACCATTGAATTTTTTTTTTTAAATTGCTTTTGCTAACCTCCCTATAAAATCCACGATATTGTTCAAAGAAAAAGAAATATACATAAAAGAGATGAGTTCTGAGGGCTAAAAGGGGAGCCCAAAGTACTCCTTCATTACCCCATTAATTACTTGTGTGTGTGTATATAATTTATTTATAATTTTTATTCAAACTAAACATTAAAAAAAACCAAGCTCTTTTTAAAAAAAAATAAAAATAAAATCAAACTAAACATGAAATAAAAAATTAAGCTTTTCTTTTTTAAAGCGAAGGGAAAAGGAATAAAGATGTTGGAAGAAGACGTTTCTTGAGAAAAAAAGAAAGACTTCGTATTCTGCTCCGTGAGTCACGGAGCACGATGGGAAACGAGGATTTGTCAAGGTGGCCATGGTAGGAGTTGGTTGCTGGTCGAGTTCCGACCAACCATCTTCTCTTTCAACTTTAAACTCTCCAGTTAGGCAATGATGACGGAGAGAATCCTTCGTTTTATTTAATTTCATAATCCGATTTTATTATGCCTAACTTCTTTTAGATGACGTGGTTAGATTCAACTCGTTGATCTACTAGCTTTCGACCAAAGTGGCCGCAGCAAGTTTACTTTCTTGATTATTTTAAAAAATAATTAAACCCAGGAATGATTAGTCGTCAGTGCTTGATTTATGCTGTCGTTGCCATTAAATATTTACCTTTAATGAGTTGAGATAATTGAAAGAGATGCAAAAGGAAGAGTTGAAAGAGGCGCAAACCTTTCTTTTCTTTTCTTTTAGTTTACGAGAAGGTTTAATGGCTCTTGGACTACCACATGTGTTCCCCTAGTTTAATATATATTTAGATGTATTAATAAATAATATAAATTATATTTTAAAATTTTATTTAATAATTTAAATTTTTAGAATAAAGTGGTTATATGACATAACCAAATGATCACAAACTAAAATCTTATTATTTTTATTTATTTAATAAAAACTAAACATAAAATAAAGTATAATTATACAAACTTAAAATTTAAAAGGTTTTTATATGAAAAAATATATTAAAAAATAATACAAATTATATCTTAAAATTTGATTTAAAATCTCACCTAACAATGTAAATTTTTAAATTAAAATAGCTCTATAATAATAATATGCTAGCTAAGATTTTCAAACCATAAATTAAAGAGTGCTCCCAAGAAAAATTTTGGGTTTTGTATTTGTTTTTCATTGAACTTTCACTTAACATACTTTAGTTGTTGATATTTTTTTTGAAAATTATTTTATTTTTGGTGAATTTTTCTTAATGGTACTGAGTAATTCGATGTATCTCTGGGATTTGTTTTTCCTCAATATAATTTATACAACTCATTTCATGCCTTTTGAAATGTTGCCATCTTTTTTAAATTGTAATTGCTATTCGAAGATCAAGTATTTTTGAAACAAGATTCTTAAAGGTATTCATTCAAGATATAAGAGCAGGTGGTGAGCCCATAAGAAGCCCCTAAGAGGGCCATACATAGAAAACAAGGTTTGAGGATTTGTTATCGCTGGATCGACTTCATGTTGGAACATCTTGGAAACATGGTTGGACTTTATATTACAATGGGGCCCACTTCTGTCGAAAGGGAATTACTACATTTCTGGCTCCGCACTCTCTCTCTCTCTCTTCTTCTTCTTCTTCTTCTTCTTCTTCTTTTTTCATTTTATTTTTTCTGTTCAACCTATATATCTGAACACATTTTTTAGAAAGCGTTTTATTGTTTTTTTTAATAGAAAAGATGAAGATAAAGAGTAAATGTTATCTTATACTATTAAAATCAAGATTATTTTAGAAATCTAATTATTTTATATTCCCCTTTTTATTTCTATAATCAAGTTGATGATTTTCATATACACATACATACATACATATATATATATATATATCATGAAATACTAACTAAATATAATTTTTACGTTTAACTTTGAAGAATCTAGCTAGCTCGCAAGTAGAACATGTGTCATTAACAATACAAGTGTCATCATATTTTCATTTTATTTCATTATAAGCACTCCGTGTCATGCATATAATCTCTCTCTTATAACAAAATCAAAACTAGTCCAACAATCTTAATTTGGTTGGAGTCATATCATTTTTTATTAGTTCAAAGAAACTACGTCCGGTGAAGGAAGAGAACATGAATCAGTGAAAAGGATTTTTTTCGTATTCTTCACATTTATCATCGATCATGCAAGCTGGTAACAATATGAACACACACACACACATATATATTGTTTTCATGATTCGAAAATTAATAATAATAATCACAATAATAGTTCCTAATTTAATCTATAAATATTGCGATACATATCCATATCAAGCCAGCCTGCAGAAATCAATCATTTATCTCAACCATATATGTTTTCCATTTTCTTAATCTTTCAAGTGAGTTCACATAATAAGCTTAATTTACGTGCATCAAGGTTTTTTATTTTTTTTTGAAAAATGATCATCACCTTTAAACAAGATCCTAGCATGGATCCACCTAGTGGGATCAAGTCATTTAGCATTTTAGTTTGCCATTTCGGATCTTGGGGCAGCCTTCGTTGTGCAAAATCTGAAGCTAATTATTAAAGGATTTCAAAAGAGGCGAGACTAGTTGTGAGGGGATCCCGGACGTACAGGAGATATATTCCAAATATCTATCTATCTATCTCAGCGGACACACACACACACACATATAGGTTCTGTGAAATTGTTAACAAGAGTCCAAAATCATAGGAAGAGTTATATTTCTCTCAAAAATAAATAAATACAAACTTAACATGGAGCACTTGACATCCATTTATTTCCCTCGAGGAATAATTAAAGCAAAGCAAGTAGGTTGTTCAATATTGATAGCTAGCTATCACGAGGACCATCTGTTTGTTTCAATTTTTCTCAGATTAACACAAGATGGGAAGCAAACTGATCCTTTCATTCATAAGTCTGTATAGCGAGGAATATTGGCACTCATCGTCGGCATAACCTCTTATTATATTCCACATAGAAACTATGCAAAGTTGTCCATGAGCATGTAATATCATGAAGAAATTAACTATATCTAATTCATCATCAACAGTTAAGGAACAGACATATATACCAAGTGTGTGTGTATTATGTAAAAAAATATGAAAACAAGGACGGTTTATTTCCCTGGTACGGATTGTAATAAGCTAAATTCTATAATGACAGATTCCTTCCGAGTCATTCGATGAGCACTGCGTTTG